CACTTATCCATAGAGGCTTTCCCTGACTCCTTCCAGAATGTACTGATATATAGATATCGAAATATAGATATACATATACATATAAACCCATACATGCATATATATGTAACAGACTCTATCTAGAGAGAAATAATTCTAATAATATATATGTATATACATATATGCATACATATATGTAATGGTCTCTATACTTTTTTTTAAGCAAATTTTTTTGTTTTGGTGTCAAGTTTATTGAGTTCTTTATATATTCTGAATTTTAATGCCCTATCTGAGAGGCAGGTGGCAAAGACCTTCTCCCATTCTGTAGGCTCTCTCTTCATGCTCTTGATTATTTCCTTTGCTGTGCAGAAGCATTTGATTCCTTCCCAGTGTTTGATTTTTGGTTTTATTTCTTGCACTTTAGGAGTTTTATTAAGGAAGGTGGTTCCTGTGCCAACTTGTTGGAGTGTTGGGCCTATATTTTCTCCTAGCAGTTGCAGAATTTCTGATCTAATTCCTAGGTCTTTGGTCCACTTTGAGTTGGGTTTTGTGAAGGGTGGGAGATAGGGATCAAGTTTCATTCTTCTACATGTGGATCTCTAGTTTTCCCAGAGCCAATTGTTGAAGAGGCCATCTTTTCTCCAGTGTCTAATATGAGATAACTGTATTTATGAGGGTTTATCTCTGTGCTTTCTATTCTGTTCCACTGGATCCCATGCCTCTTTTGGTACCAGTACCATGCTGTTTTTTGTTACTACAGGTCTGTAATATAATTTGAGGTCCAATAGTGTGATGCCTCTAACTTCCCTCCTCTCACTAAAGATTGCTGTGGCTATTCTGGGTCTCTTATATTTCCAAATTAATTTCAGAGCTGTTTTTTGTAGCTCTGTGAAGAATGCCATTGCTATTTTGATGGGTAATGCATTGAATCTGAATAATGCTTTTGATAGTATGGCCATTTTGACAATAGTAATTCAGCCTATCTAAGAACATGGGAGGTCTTTCCATCTTCGAAGGTCTACTTAGATTTCCTTCTTTAGTGTTCTATAGTTCTTTCACCTCACTTGTTAGATTTATTCCCAAGATGTTTTTTTTTCTTTTTAGTTTATTCTGAATGGAATAGATTTTCTAATTTCATTTTTAGCAGATTCATCATTGGAATATAGGAAAGCAACTGATTAATGTATGTTCATCATGCTACCTTGCTGAATGAACTTGTCAGGTCTAGAGGTCTTCTAGTGGAGTTTTTTTGGAGCATCTTCTAAATATGGGGTCCTGTCATGTGCAAACAGAGAGAATCTGAGCTCTTCTTATCCTATTGGTATTCCTTTAAATTTCTCCTCCTGTCTGATTGCTCTGGCTGGAATTTCAAGGAGTATGTTGAACAAAAGTGACCAAAGTGGGCATCCTTGTCTTGTTCCTGTGTTTAGAGGGAATGCTCTCATTTTTTTTCCATTCAGTATGTTACTGGCTTTGGGTTTGTCATATAGAGCCTTTATGATTCAGTGAAGTTCCTTGTATCCCTAGTTTCTCTAGTGTTTTAAACATGAAGAGTCTGTACTTTTTCAAATGCTTATTGTGCATCTATGGAGATAATCATGTGATTCTTGTCTAAGTCTATTTATGTGGTGAATTACATTTATTAATTTCTCAGATATTTAACCAACCTTGCATCCCTGGGATGAACCCAACTTGATCATAATGCACTATCTTTTTAATATGTTTTTCTTTGCTGTTTTCCAATACTTGATAATAAATTTTGTACTGGGCTTGGTGGTATATGCAATGTATTTCCAGTGGCTCTGAAGGCTGATATATGAGGATTGGAAGTTCAAAGTGAGCTTTAGCAACATAGCAAGGCCCTAAGCAAGTTAGAGTAACCTCATCTTAAAATAAATACAAACAATTGCGATGTGTCTCAGTGATTAAGTGCCTCTGGGTTCAATCCCATATATCAAAGGAAAAAATTATATCTATATATTCGCCATATATTTTATGTATTCATTTGCTATAACATTACATGAGGGCTGAAACTGGGCTAAAAAAGATTTGGCAAAAGATTGAAAAAAGGAAAAAAAAAGAAAGTGAATATAGAGTGGAATGGTGCAGTCCAAGGTAAAAATAGAAATAGGTAGATGTGGTATATGTGAGGTAGTATAGGGATATGAGGAGCAAGGAGAAACTAGGGTTAGGAGACAGAGATTGGGAGAATTGTTCTAAGTAATGCTTTAAACCATTAGAAGAAATACATTCAAATGGGTTGAAAGTACAATGTTGGCTATTAGGATGATGACTAAGTATCAAGTTAAAAAGTAATATATATGACCAAAGTTGAAGTTTTTGCTATTTATAGTAAACCATGCCAAGGTGACAAAAATTTTGGTTAAATCTTGGTTTGGGTTTCATTAAAATTTGGCACATTTAGCAGATATCCATCACTCTTTGGCTCTGGATCCTTCCAGAGGTGCTGGAATACAGGAGCCACTCCCCTAATTGCTGTGGACCTCCCTCCAGTTGGTTCTGGTTTGTCAGCTCAAGGGCCTGCAGCTAACAGCTTGGAGAGTGTGGTGTTGTGTCGGTTGGTTTATTGTGTGCTGAGGTTCAGGACATAGGCTTTGGACCGGGGTTGTGATGAATGGGTCATTATGTGAGTGTGTGTTCCCCTGCACAGGGTCTTTTGCTTGGTGGTGTGGTCTGTTTGCTGTCTATAAGCACAGGTCCTGTGGTTGTGTTTTCTCCATGGGTTTATCTGTGGTGTATAAACACCACCCAGCTTATACAGCTTACTGAGGTACTGTTGTTATGTTATTTTGGAGTAAAGGGACTCAGCCAGTCTATGTGGGTTCGAGTTTCTACTGCCCCAGCTTGTAAATAGCAGGTGCTGATGCCCTCTGCTGATTGTGTCTGAGGCAGGGTCCAGCCACTATCCAGTGTCTGATCACTCCATAGTTGTGGTACAGGGTCAGGCTGGGAGCAAGTCAGACTGGGTGCCATTGTTTTTCATTGCCTTGGGCCCAGGGAAATTCATCCCTTGGCTGACCTGCTGGCTGTGGTAATGGTCTAGGCACTTTTCCTTTAAGCTTCCTGTGGGGATTTAAGCACTTGCCTGTGGCTTTCTACTAGGTTTAGCCATGGTCTGGAAATCTGTACCTCTATGCTGCTGAATATTCAGACAGGTTCTCCCCTATTTGGCTTCAATGAGGCCCATGATCCGGTCACCAGTCTCTCTAGGTTTCTTAGGACTACTGCTACTTTCCATGGATCTCACTCCCAGTGTCAGCCGGTAGCAATAGTGGTTCTATAGGTTCCTCTTTCCTCTCCTCAGTGCCCAAACTGTCTTGCCACTCAGATCTGAGCTCAGATTTCCACCACCCTGAATTTTGAGCATCTGCTCCATCTCTGCTGGGCTCTCTGCATCAGCTGAGCAGGCACTGGATTGGGCAAGCACTTCCCAAGCAGGCTTCTCCACCCTGTTCCTCTTGTTCACAGTGGGGAGGAGGCAGTTCCAGCAACTTTCAGATAGTAGTTGGTTTCTTAAGAGAACCCACTACAGGGGTGTTCTGGTTTAGTTTGCTGCTAAGTGAGGTAGGGGGATGTCCTGTTGATTTAAGGCAATGACTATTCAAGTATGGGTTCCCCCAAATGGCTGCAGTGTCCAGCAGGGACACTCCATTTACAAATTTGGTTGTCTAGTGCATGATCTGCTTCAATGACACAGCTGTTCCTGTCATATTTTAATTTTTCCTGGTTTTCTTTCCAAATATTAAGGGAGTGAGCTTATGTGATTTTCCTGTTCCCTCTTTCTCTGTTGCCCTCGTCTCTTCCTCCACAGATTCGGGGTTGGGGAACTCTACACTTATTTTGTACTGTGATAACCAATCTTCAATTCTCTCCAGGTCTCAGACTTTGTAATATTGGGCCTCAGGGCATTTACTTTTTTCTTCCAACTCTCTGACTTGTTGTTTCTTCTCTGTCTTCTTTCTGTGTGGTGAGGGGACTGGGAATTGCTGCCTAGTCCCTTTCTGCCTTCTCCTTCTCCTTCTCCTCCTCCTTCTCCTCCTCCTCCTCCTCCTCCTCCTCCTCCTCCTCCTCCTTTTCCTCCTCCTT